AAGTTGAACAAAATGTGCACGTCTCATGCTTGCAAAATCAGACACCACTTGTGGCAATGCAGCTCAAAGCAACAGCAAATGCAAGAGTTAAACTAAGCCTAGTAGTCAAAAACTACACAGTTCATCTCAAACTCTAAGTTGACTCATAAATTCTCGCTGGGATAATAATTAAATGTCGGCAGGAATAATGCAAAGCCTAAGAATTACAGTATTATTGGAGATGATAAAAATCTAGTACCTTGGCCTCGAGAGGCTGAAATACACTCTGGCTTACAATCCGAAAACCTCATCTTAAATACTCTCTAACTTATTTACCTTTCTGATGAGGAAACGGAAAAGGATAAATTATAGTAAACGTCTTCATTATAAAAACTGGTTAAGTAAAATAATCCCTACAGTGTAAAGATTTATATGTTAAAAAACTAATCATTTTCTGTAATAATTACCAAGTAAAAAAATAACAAATCTAAAAAAATTGCTAATAAAAGTTTTACCACATCCAATCAGAAGCATCTTTTTTTAGTGCACTTTTAGTGAAAACAAAAATCAATAATTCTTTGTTTCAAACTTTATTTGTACGGTATCTAGGAAAATCCTATTTGGAAATTTTTCTTGTCAAAGTAAAGATAAATAATTTTTATATTGCTTTAAGTTTCGCCGTGTACTTTTAGTGTAGTTTTGCTAGTTGCTAACAAATTCAATCCTTAAAAATTCTTCGAAACGGAAATCCGACAAAATTTGCAAAATTTATAAACTTAAAACTGCTATAGACTTTGAAATTATTAGAACAGTGGGGTTTTAAAGTCTAAGCATTTTTATGGAGTTCTTGAAACATTTATGAAAAAACAAAAAACCTTGCATACAAGTAGTTTTAGTACTTGTTTTTGTACCAGAAAGCGGTTTAAGAATGGATTATTTGATTTTGATAAAGCCCACTAAGGCTCCCTGCCTGTGGAGAGGAATCTCCATGAAGGTCTTTCTAAATTGACAGCTGTTTACGTTACATAAGAGGAAACACATGAACAAACTCATAAACCTTGACCTTCCTATAGTTAAGAAGAGGACATTGAGCATACTTAATTGCTTTCGTGGCTTAGTATTTGAATAAATACTGCGAAGGATACGTTAGTTATAACAAACCGTTTTCATTTTAAAAGTCAAGTAAAATCCACCATTTATTGATGTTGGTTTTTCAGAATCATCCTGAGCATCCTTTCATTTCACGGAAGATAGGCTAGGATCTTTCTTTTTGAAGCATTCCGTAAGAGAAAGTGGCCTTTCGGGAATTTCCTCTTAAATTCTTCCTTATCATTTGATTTTCATTTAAAGAGTTCTAGACCGGCACTAGGTACTAAAAAGAAAACCGTACTAAAAAGAAATCTACTACGAGCTTCGGGTTCAATAAATTCGCAATTTTTTTAACGATTTCGTTTTCCCTAAAACGAAACGAGTTAGAAGAATTTTTGCACAGAGTTTTAGAGCACTTCTATTTAGTATCAAAATATGTGCTTTTGCACACTACTTCTACTCAGATAATAAAAATTAAGATAAACGGAAAGGAAAAGTATGTCGTTAGTATTTCAGAAAGACTGAAATTTTCACGACATCTACTGTAGATGTTAAAAGTCGCTGCTTGTTGCAATGCATATTTACGAAAATGCGAATACGAATACGAATACGAATATACGAAAACATTTTGCTCAATGAAAATATGTTATCAAAGGTCATCCAAGCTTTGCTAATACGATTTTAACCGTCTTTCCCTAATTGTTGCTGAAATTAATAAAATATTCATTTTGAGCGGAAATGCATGCGATTCAAAATTATGGAGTCGTCTTCCTAAAATCTTATTCTTTAACGTTATTTCAATGGGAATCAAGGAAATAACCTTTTTGTTTTTACTCACCGTCATAATAGCACGCACATGCGGGTAACAACTGCAGAGAAATTTTCATCGATACAGAAAAACTATGCAGAGAATTAAGATACCTGCTTGCAGACGAAATTCCGTCACAAAAATTAGATTCAGATTCAAAATTCATAAAAAAGGCGACCGTGTGTCACATACAGAATGGGATCTATATAAAAACTGATGTTTCTGAATTATTTAACATAAAGGTTCTATATAGTCTAATGATGAGCATTTTGCCCTTTTTTGTTTTGTTTCTTTTTGAAGAAAGAGTAGTTTGATCTGTCCAAAAGAATGCTATCCATAAAAGTTTGGTTTATTTAATTATGGCAAAGCACACTAGGGCAATCTGCCTAAGGTGAGGGATGCTTCGTGGAGGACTTTATAAGAAAAACTGACTCGTATACACGTTTCATATGGGGAAAAGCATGAAAATGCCCATGCAGCCATCCCGTTCGCGGGATTCGAACCTCGGACCGAACTACCAGTGTTCAGCGACTTTGCCGCTCCGCCGCTGGTGGGCCTCTATCCGTAAAGGATAAATTTTCATTTAAGTTGTCATTTAAAATTAAATTGTCAATTAAAATAAAAAAATGAAAATTTAAATTGTCATTTAAAATAAAAATACAAAACTGAAAGTGCTGTACTCATACAGGGTGATCAAGTTTACCAACTACATCTGATGATACTCAATATTTTCCATGCCCATGACTTTGGTAATAAATTTGTAAGCTTGATGCTCATGTTGACAGAGTTGTTATATTGTTATAAGAAATATGGTTAGGGCATATGTACTGAAATGAGCACGGGCGAATCCAGAACAAGACAAAGAATTTAAAGTTACAGTAGATTGGTGCAATCGTTTCATGAACAGAGCAAATCTGGTAATACGACAGAAAACAAAAATTGCCCAGAATTTACCACAAGATCTTGAACATAAAGTCTCGCATTTTCGCAAGTTTTTTACTCGTATGAGGGAAATGAACAACGTTCCATTACCTAATTACCTAATTTTTACCTAATATTGGAAATATGGATGAAACACCGATGAACTTCGACTTGATAAACAACAGGATTATGGAAACAAAAGGCGTTCCAACTGTTCAAACAGAAGTACAGGCCACGACAAGACCAAATTTACAGTATTACCAAGCATGACAGATGGAACAAACTTTAAAACGCATGATAATTTTAAGGGGAAAAACTATTTCTGCAATCAAATTCTCTTTAGGCATTTTCGTACATTTTCATGAAAAGAGGTGGATGGATGAGAATGGTGTAAATTTGAGAGATGGAAAATGCGTGGCATTAGGCGCCCACATGCGCTACGAATTAACGAATTTTGCTAGTGTGAAATATGTTTTGCAGTCACGTAACTGATAACGCTAAAAATCGCTTAGGAGGAAACAATACTAAGATTGCTGTTATACCTGGTGGTGTAACTTCGATGCTACAACCTTTAGATGTTTCTCTGAATAAACCACTTAAAGATCATATGCATAGAAAATGGAATAACTGGATGATTAGTGGCAAAAAATCGTATACGAAAGGTGGAGCTGTATGGACTGCATTACTTGATGTGCTGAGAGATTTCGTGATCACATCATAGGAAAAAGTGAAAGTGGAAACAATGACCAATCATTCAAGGATTTCTAATGTTGTATGGGACACTGAGGACGATTTGTTATGAGATATTGACGACGAAGGGGGAATAGATTTGCTACATACATAATGGGATCCATATTTATCCTATATGTCAACCCCGGATTTGGGAGCTCCTTTTTTATGATTCAAATGTCGTCTTATCTTCCCAAATATAAGGTATATATATTGCGTTCCTATTATCAGATAACTTTTCTGTTGCTCTGGGGGGATTCAGTCAATAATTGTAAATGCATGAGTGGAACTCTGTAAGGTATCTTTCCTCTCTTTACCTCGTGCCTTCGTGGTGTGACTGGAAGCAAATCGGTTGGCAATTTGGAGGTCCAGAGGTTGAGCCCTGGGGAAAAGAAAGGAAATTACTGATTTTAAATTTAAAAAAAAATAATGACTTTACATTGAAGTCCAAACTAAAATGTGGTGGACGATAATACGTAACCACCAGTATTTTATCGACTGGGTCTCGCTTCTCAAGCGCCTATGAGGGAGAATGCAAATTATTTTCTTCTGCTTACCACATGCATTCGTAACGTAACTGAAAGCACTTTTTGAACGGCTGGAGTTTTAATCATGACGAAGGCGCTGCACATTTTAGTGTTTTATATTGTTAAAATGATACATAACATTTCTAAAAATGAAGTAATTCGGATTTTTTTAATTGATTGAGGGGTACGAAACATAGAATAAATACCAATCTTAGAATTCTTGTATTAACTACAAAATGTTATACAAGAGAGGCTGATTTTTGTTACATGAAATATTTATATTAGCAGGAATTGCATTAATTAATTTATATTTAAATAAGTATTTCCAGGGCTGGTATTTTCCTTGTATTATTTTTTTAATAATACAAGCTGCTTATTTTTTTGGTCCCCTTCTAACTATGAGCCTGCAAGAAGCACTTCACTTACTTTTGTGTTTTCCTTGCCGTATTTATTACAAACAACAATCACAAACAATTGGGTTTTGTTTTTAATGCAGATGATAGCGTACGCAACGAAAAGAGTGAGAAATTTTGCTATCGACCCGCTGTAGAGTATGAGAACCTATTTTATTTATGTATAAATAGTAAAAAGGGACATTTGTTGCAAAATGTGGTTTTAGAGATGGAGATAAAATTATTTTCGAATGATTAACTTTATACTATATTTATCAACATACATAAGGAGTTTATAATATAGAAGTAAAACTAAACAAAGACTAGCAATCACTGTTTAGTCTGTTTTTGTTACATAACGATGATGAATAGGGTTTTTAACAAGCAAATTTACAAAATATATGGAATGAGAAGTATTATTTATAGTCATTTGGAAAAAAATCTGTTATTTATGTTGAACGCACGTTTTCTGCAGTTTGGAAGCAATAACATCTTTTTGAGGTGTTGTGTTAAAAAGTGTTTTGTTTTTCACTTAAATATATTTTATTTCAACAGAGATGAAAGTCAACACAGCTTTCTTCATATCCATCAACCTGATTACAGCTGCTCTCGAAGTAATAAAGGCTTCGCCTGACAACAGTAATTGTACATTCACCAACGATGTTATTATTTGTAATAGCATCACGAGTTGGGCAGAGGACATGAAAACCATTTTTAAAGGAATAACAGACAACAGTTTCAAGGTGCTTAAACTGCTGGCGTTAAACCTGTCAAGCTTCGACATAAGCCCCTTCGGTGGCCTTCCAGTGAGTAGTTTAGAAATCGAAAACTGCAAACTTGATCAACTGACAGATGGAGGGCAGTCAGGGATTAAAAGCAACCTACGTGTAAGTAATGTTTAATCGCTTTGTACTTCTCAACAGTTCATAAAAGTCTTCCTTTTATAAGTAATAAATTTTGGGCTCTTTCAACACGATTTTAATATGTTATTGATCGTGTGATTTAGGTGGAAGCTAATAGAGGCAGGCTGAGCTTTACCCAAGTAAAGTATGAATAAATATGAACATTTCTGGCACAAAGTGTTTGCATCTGAAGAAGCTATTTCATTCTGTTAAAGTTTAAAAAATGGACTAACAGGGGTTTGTGAGGGAAAAATTATACTTGAAATTATAAACTAGTCTTCTTGCTGTTATAAGGTTTTTGATGTGAGAAACACGTAAGCGGATTTCTTCCAAATATTTTGGGGTGCTACGTTGCGCTGCCAAACATTTGCTCGAATCCGTTCTCTGGGCAAATGTAGTCACTGCATCTACAACACACTGTTCACTAAACATCCATCGGTTAGCAATCCCCAGAGCATTGCTCAAAAACTGCGTAAGAACATTATAAAAAAGAAATTGAGTCATATTTTATGACGTTAAGCAAACTCAAAATCATTAGAGTACCAAAACCCATCCGTATTGTTTTTAATTTTCTTATTTGTTCTGCATTCATATATTATAACTTCATTTTTCCTTATTAGGAGCTCAAAATAGAATCCAGCATCAACGCTGCGGAAGTAGGATTCAGACTGGAATTGGACAGTCTGCTTCATTTAAAGAAGTTGAATCTGACCAGCAACGTAATACCATATCTTAATAGAACCTGGTTCCAGAATGCTCTCATTTCACTTCAATATCTGTTCTTGGAGAGAAATGGCATAGAAATGCTTGAAGAGAGAGTTTTTGAAAGCTTCAACGAACTGAGATCGATAAGTCTACAAGAAAATGCCATCAAACACCTTAAGCGTGATATGCTTCCAAACCCAGGATTTAATTTGAAGACACTAGCTTTCGGGTAAGTTTTATTATACAGAACTACAGACGGGCACAGTGTGTCTACACATTTTTAGGTTTGAACTGCCTTTACTAACATCAGTTTAAAACATTGCCTGCTTATGGATTAAAATTTAAGTGAAATGTTTTGTTTGATTTTATGCAGCTTATGTGTTAAAAAATACTTTTATGCGCAAACAATGAAACTCAAATCATGCAGCCAGCCCATTCGTACTTGGATCGGATTCCAATTATTCGTCTGTCTCAACCCCTCAGCCACTTGTGGAGTCCCGTTAATTGAGGAAATAACTTTATTTATTCGAATTCCTACCACCTACCAGCAGCTGAGCGGTAAAACCGCTGAGCGCTGATAATTCGACCAGGTTCAGAGCCCGGCAATACGGCAGTTATGTCGTCGGTAGGGCAGCTGATTAACTGGGTAACAGCGTGTTAAACCATAAAAGCTTTGCTAACGAATTTATGTATTTTTAAATGGCCTGGTTTTGTGTCGCCTGCGATTATAATTGATAGATAGTAAGAAGCTTACAAGGTCAGAGTCATTTAATAAGTGGCAATGCAACGATGGGAAATATTATTTACAATATGCAAATGAAAACAGAAGAGAATATACAGACATACAGACATACATGCAAAGGCAATACTGGCAGTACGGTAAAAATTGCAATGTAGGAGGATTAATCCAGGGTATTAGAAATTCTCAGTGCTGTACTGATGCATTCCTGTACACATTTATGCGCGTACTAATTTCTAGAAGATTTATTATTTTCCTATTCCGTATTACATGTAGCAGCTTTGCATAGATAGAAGTCATTTGTCAATTGTCTGAGCAGTTAAATACATAACATTCAGGATCACCAAATACTCAACTTACGGACAAGGCCATTTTGTCACAAGCCAAAGTGGTTCAAATATAGAGGTCATGCCCTGTCAAGTACGCAAAGTATGGACTTTTAGGAAGAAATTGTGTCGTATTGAAGTCTCAGTAATGCTGTTGTCTTTTTAGGAGTTCATGTTTTAGCTCAGGTTTAAGTGCGGCCCTAGATTTAGCACATTTTGTATGCTTAAGTTCAATGGCTGCATGTTTACTTGTAGTATCGAGTGTTTCATCCGCTGTTATTCCAATGTAGGCAGGAACCCACTGGAGATTGAGCCTCAGTTTTGTTGACATAACAATGAGAAATTTCTTCATATTTCTGACTACGAATTTTGTATCGCCACCATAAATGGCCTACACACTACAAGCAAAATCTGAATACATGCTTTTAGGCTGATTATTTGGTGGGATATAACTTTCTGTTTCTAAAGTGTGGTCTTCAAAAACAACCAGTTCAGCCTAAAAGACTGAGCAAGGCGGTCTTAATTTTCTTGCTCAGGCTTTTCTTGCTTGCTTTTCTTTGTCAGCTGCTTATTTCTCTTTAAAATCGTATGGTAGAGATAACCACTGTCTTATAGTGAAGAATAAATCGCCGTGGTTTCCAACACCGCCGGCAGGTTACAAACAGCAGTTTTATTACATGAATGGGTGGCAAGGTAGCTCTGTAATGCAGGATTCATAATCCATATGAATGTTTATTTTGCTCCAGATAGTGACGTTTGTTTTCAGTCTGAGTGACGAAATATTGTGCTTTCATGTTACACCATAGAGTGTTAGGAACATAGTCCTGCCAGAACACTGAAAACCATTGAAGACGATATTCGATACTCCCGACCAAAGTTTAGATAAAATGCTCTCTGGACTGAGTTTCGAAATTCTGCGGCTTATATTATAAGGTATTTCTAACGCCTTCTTAGGGTTAGTCTTCGTGGTGTGGTGGACTGCACGCTGAGCGCATATGCCAGAGGTCCGTGGTTCGATTCTCGGAGAGGGCATTGCTCATTTTTCAAGTCTCCTACTTTAAAAAAATGCCTAATGTCTCTACAATATATATAAATAACTAATATCAGGGCTCCGTTTAACATTATGCGCACAGCAGTAAGTACATAGGATTTTAATCATCCAGGAGGATACCACTCCTGGACTGAACTTAGGTTTGTAGTTCTGAGCATCGAGTTCGATACTCCCTTTATGCGGGGAACCAAGGGAAAATATTAATAGCCAGCACGAGATATTTCATTTGATGTACAATATGGATGTTTTTACCATGAAGACTTTATCATAGTGTACATATGACGATGTTTGTGATGACAGAATTACATTCCTTTTGTTTTGGCAAGGAGGATACCTAACTTCTGGTCATTAGCTCAACAAGCTATCCTATTCAAGGAGTTTTGAAGCGAGTTCCGCATACGTTTTATTGCTCTTTTTGGTAACTAGTAATTAATAGTTCAGATAAGCCAATATTTCTCTGTTAGCCTCGTCATCTAACGGAAGCAGAGCTACGACCGCTATCAAATTTCACAAGAGTGGATATAGACATGAATCTTGAGGACAGTCTTTGTTAGAACATTGTACATGGACACTTTCGTCCGCTGTGGCCTGGACATAGTAATTATTCAGATAATTAAGGGCCATATCAACACATACCTTGGGATATTTTATACATTAAGCGTCTGAGTGTATCAGACCATTACAACAAATCAAAGACGCTTACAACATCAGTCGAGATAACTAGTAGGGTACGAAGCCTTTCCTGTTAGAGCTCACTATTATGTTACGTACATGAGAAAAGGGAAACTTTCTGACTTATTTGCTATGAAACCACATTGTCTCTCAGCAACGATGTGATGTTTAAATCTTTATTATATCTTTACATCAAGTATTTTTTTCAAGGCTTAAAGAAAACAATGGACTGCTTTGTTACCCTTTAGAAAAAGAGTAATTTCAGCTGACCTATAACCTACAATAAAATGTCGATGTCGCCAGCAGGCTTCACATGAGCATCGCAGCCTAGTGGCGAAACGGAAATAAATCTCAGTAGTGTGTTATGTTCGAGTGAGTGTGCAACGCACTTAATCAGTAAAGAATAATACAAAATTAAATGGAATTAAATCTGCATTTGCACATTTGAACTCATATCGCAGCTTATTCTGAATCTATTTGGATTCAAAGATTGTGAAATATCTTATATTAACTAGCCAATTATTAAGATTTAAGTCTTTACTACAATTTCTCCTTTCCGTATTTCTAGTTTTGTGTGTATCTAAGCTGAGAGTTTTGAATCTTTAAATGAGAGAGAGCCTTTGGCAATCGCGTCTTGCTGCTAGTATCCACTGCCAGCTCTGCTTAAAAACACTATTCCGACAGCATTCTCGCTATCGTAGTGGTAAAATATCTGAGCCAGCTTAATTTTAGTCTATTTAATATTTCGTCTACGAAATTAAAGTTTAAGTTGAATCTGTTGTGTTAATTTAATTATACACAAATGGTGGCAGTTTAATTTTTAGAAGAATTTCTGTCTCTTCTATTACCTTAAGATTACATAGAAAGCTTATAAGGTATTTCTCCCGCCTTCTTCGCATGCCTTCGTGGTGTGGTGGTCTGCACGTTGGGCGCGTATTGCAGAGGTCCGCGGTCCGATTCCCGGAGAAGGCGGTTGCACATTTTTCATTTTTCCTGCTTTCAAATTACCTAATGTCTCTAAAAGAATATTCTAAGCTTCTGCTGTATTTTAAGAATTGTTTAAGAAGTAATAATAATTTCTGTTTGTCTAGTAAAGTTTGCAGACTTAAAATAGCTCTAGAATAATCCTACTGACTAAGCAAAGAAAAACTGTGCTGCGCCGTCTCCCAATTTAATGTAAGAGAAATATAACTGTTAATATCCGGAGTGGACTCCGAACTGAGTCTTAATATCTGTTTCCAGGATCGAAATATTACTTTGATGATAACCTTTTGAGAACACTTCAGAAATTCAAAAAACATATCGAAGGAATGAAATGTATTCCAGTAACTAATTCTTCATATCCATCCAGAAATTCTGTGGACTTTAGGAGAAATTCATAACAGGATACTAACAAGGTAATAAGGAATATATGTAACGGAAGCCTTAATAGTGATAAAATTGCTTTCTTCAAAACTCGATTTGTTATGAATTCAGGTCTAGATATTTGCAAACGCACAATTATACATCAAATTACGTTTAGAACTTTATTTCACTGCTCACAGAAAAATGACCTATTAAATTCATGCATGGAGACAGAATATTTTTAAATACAAAACTGATGATTTACACGGAAAAATTATCTAAATTTTTGAATGATTTACACACACCGCATTAAGTATTTGCACAGAAATTGCAATTTTTTCGTTCAGTGAATTTTCTGCAACAAAATATGCGACTGAGCTGATTTCATTTCACTACATTTAAAAATTATTCTCTGCCGTATCTTTGCAACATTTTTAAAATTTCTTTTAGATTTCACACTGATTAATCCGAATGTGAAGAATTTGCTCTTACAGAGAGAGGGTGTTTATACACTTTCGTCTACACGATTAAAAATATATTTTTCTTTAAAGTATTGCTGAAAAATGAGCAATGGACAGAAGGCTATATTTTTGCACAGTCGGAAGAGAAATACTCTTATTCAATTATTAAAAAAATCTGATGTGTACACCACATGACTTCCTTGTACGGAATATTAAATTATACGCATTTTTCTTGCATTTCATTTAAACTTATTCGATTGAATTAAATCTGCTTCGCCGACAGCGCATAAACCACAATAGAATAAATGCTTTCTTTAAAATTCACTCTATTTGTTTACCATAGCGACACTCTGGCGCTAGTTCACTTAACAGTATTATATTTCGTTAATATTATAACTCAGAATGCACAAAATTGATATCATTTAAAGAATTATCTAATTGTTGCCACATGTTCTATTCAAATACTGTAATAAACCTAGAACGATGTATAAAAGAAATTAAGCAAACAAAACAAAAAAGAAACAGTTTTCCCAGACGATTGAGTATTTTTCATTCAGTTAATTCACTCACTTCGCGACAAGGCAAAAATACATAAAAACTCAAAATATTTGTATTAAAAATTACGAAGTAAATCTTAAACACTTATTTCCTCGAAAAAATTCCAGAAAGGATTAAGCATGATTTAATTCGCAAGAATAAATGAAGGCGTTATCTTTTGTTGTTGCGAAGCTACGTTTCTCTAGATTGGGAACAAATCCACTACTCTGCTGTTTCAAATGTAAAAAAGCAATGGCCGCCATGAAAAAAATTATTAGGCTTAGCGGTACTTGAACAACTTTAAAATTGTTGATAATTCTAAAAATATTGCATACAGATTTACTAAAGGCATAAGAACCTTAAGCGGAAGATAAGAACAACATAGTTCAATTATTTTTAAAGCAAAAAATGTACAATTTACAAACATATAAGAGTAAAGAAACTGAGATCACTAAGCTGGATAACAGAGCGGATATATATATATATATATATAAATATATTCATATACGTTTGGCGCGACCGATTGCAACCAAAATACGAGGTGCACATCTACATGTTATAGCAGTCCTATATACAAAATTTCAACTTTCTGAGGCTACTCATTTTTGAGTTATGCGAGATACGTACGTACTTACATACGTTCGTACAGACGCCACGAAATATTCTCTTCAGAATTAATTTTAAAGCAGTTTTATAATTTTTTTGGAGTCTTTTATTCTGTTCTTACGTACAGATATCATGCAAAAATATCGTTAAATTGCATTCGAAAGCGGTCAAAATGGATATTTTCGTTCAAATATGCTGCCTGAAACTTTTCGCGATTACAATACTTCCTTTTTACTTCGTACAAGGAAGTAAAAAGATGTGAAAAGCATGGTTTTTAATATTTCTACACATAAAATAACCGATATAATTTATATAAAAGGAAAGAAACGTCAAAAATTACATCTGACAGGGAAAGAGGAAAAAATGTATACCCAACAAAGGTACATACAGCTCTTATTAAATCTGAAGCCTCATCTAATGTTTTAAAGAAATTATCCAGCCTCCCCCCCCTTAAGAGCTATTGCTAAATCGTTAAATATCTCTGTAGGAACTGTGAACAAAATTATAAAATCTGATTTAAAGCTAATCAAAACAAAAGAACTTGATGTTCATCGCCTAAAATTCCATAAAAGGGCTATCAGACTGATCATATTAGAAAATAAAATTCTAAAGTTTGCTTATATATAAAACTTTGCAAAATCGTTACAAAAATGGGTGAAAACCCTCTGTATTTATTTTATTTTGTTTGCGAGGTAATTGAATTTTTGTCTAACAGCGATTTAAAAGGATTCTTTTGGCACTGTCTGAAACCAAATACTTTTATTAGCGAGTTGTTGTTCATGAAAAAGTAAGGTAGTGAATTTTTTTTTCACATTTCATTTCTCTGTTTTTAACAAATTAAAGGTTTAAAAACAATGAATGCAGTTCATAATGATATTTATTTAAAACGTTTATCCTATTGATTTAAATAAAAATGTATTTAATTCAAAAAAAACTTAATTATTAATTTTTATGAACACTTACAGCTTTTGTTTATTTTTTATTTATTTTATAGCTTTTTTATCGCTATATGGTACATAATTGATATAAAATACTTTTCACATTCAATTTATTTTAATTTTTAAATAATATGTCTAACCGATATGAATTCAGATACTTGCAGTTTAATTAAATGGTATACCCAGCTGATAATTTTTATGAATATTTTCTATTTAATTATAATTAAAAAAAGATGTTCTTAATATATATTATGCAACTAATTCAAAATCAATTGTTATTATGGTGTAAGTTTTAAAAATTTGTTAATCATTATTTTTTAATTTTTAGAATTTTTAGTGATAAACTCTTCCTTGAGTTATAGACTTAGACTGAAGTTTTCAGACTGCAATAAATCTAACATTCTTGCGCAGTAGCAATTATATTTAATGCTGTTCGTTTTCTTGTAGGAAGAACAAGCTTAGCTCTCTACCATCTGAATTATTTTCTGGTATGTCATCCTTGACTTCCGTGGACTTCCGCAGCAACAGGATAAAAAACCTACAGGAAAGTGTATGGATGCCGATCTGGACACAGCTGCGAACTCTGGTCATTAGCAGTAAGGCAATCTGCATCTCTCTTACAGATATTTGCAATTTTTATGGAAGTAAACTTGTGTGTATTCTTTATACAGATTGCCCACAAAAGTTCTTACCCGGCCTTTATTTTTGCAACCGTTGGTTTAGACATATAGTTTCAGCTGCAAAAATGTTTTAAATGGAGCAATTATTCATGCTTTGGCATTGTTACTAAAAAGTTTTTCAGAAATTGCAAAATCTAACTTTTTATACATTCACTCAATCTGCGGTTCTTATGCTTATATTTAAGAAAATTTAATACACATTATTAAATTTAAAAAATGGCAAATTTGACTTTCATAGGACAAAAATAGACCCGTGCAATTTATAAATTTTCATGCTAATTAGCTATGTCATTAATATTCATATGAAGTTTATTGCTTTAAAATAAGACTCATAATCAAACAAAACACTCACTGAACTAAAATAGCCTAAATTTATGTAAATAAGCCTACAAATTGACGATGTGCCAATACTGAAGCTTTTCAGTGATTTCTAGAATACTAAGTCTATAAGGTATTTCTCCCGCGTCCTTAGCATGCCTTCTTAGAGTAGTGGTCAGCACGCTCGACGCGTATTCGAGAGGTCCGTGGTTCGAGTCACGGCGAGCCCATTGCTTTTTTTTTTCACATCTTGTGCTTCGAAATAATCTAATGTGTCTACAAGAGTACATAAATAGCACCCTTTGGAGAAAAAATCTTATATTGATCAATGCTTTTCAAAACAACCTCCATAGAAATGTCCGTTACTTACCTTTTAGCCGTTACTTACCTTTCTTCTTTCCTTCAAGGTTTCACTATGAACACCTAAATTCTCCCAAAATAGCATGAGAAAGAGGTCTTTTCTTGACTTTAATGCCTTATTTCCCCTGGTACATTATGCCTGAATTTATGTACTTTTAATGCACTGGTGAAATAAATTAAAGGAATTTGCATATTTTATCGCATTGCAGAAAAAGTACTGAACTGCAGAAAAACCACTGCTTCTAGATAAAAATGCAAATCTTGTACGGCATATACGTAAGTGCACACGTGTGTGTAGGCGGAGCGAGCAGAAAAACATACTTTATAAGCGCATGGAGGGTAAGACGAATTGCGTTCACTAGCACACCTCGGCGAATTTCTTGGTGTTTTCTTGCAGCAATCGGTTAAATACACATTGGAACAGAAAATGAGTAACCGCCAACGTTTAAATGATGGAATGAGGTGGCGAATTGTAGGGAGGCTAGAGGCAGGCCAGTCGCAAGTCCAGATATGCAGACAGATATGTTAATTTAACGCCCAGCGTCGTGTGTAACCTATGGAAACAGTTCCAGGATACTGGATTCATCAAGAGAAAGCCTGGGCAAGGTCGTAAAAAGCCACGACGGCCTGAGAAGATCGCTATTTGTCCATTTTAGCGAGGCGTAACAGAGGGGCTACAGCTTCTCAGCTCTCTCGGGACCTGTATGCAGTCACAGGAACCCGTGTAACAAGGGTGACTGTTTCCAAAAGACTGAATAAGAGAGGGTTGTTTTCCAGAAGATCGGCTGTTTGCGTCCCGCTCACGTCTACGGACAGGATAGTCCGATTTGCATGGTACAGGCAGCATAGTGATTGGAGTACGGAGCAATGGGCGACCGTTCTGTTTACCGACGAGTTCCGTTTTAGCCTAAACACTGATTCTCACCGTACTTTCATGTGGAGAGAGCTAGAGACACACTACCTACCCTCCAGCCTGCTGGATGGCCGCACATCTCTCCACGTCTTTAACAGAGACACTGTGACTGGTGTGAGATATAGGAATGAGGTCTTGGAGCCCTATGTATGCTTCTTCGGGATGCAGTGGGCCCCGAGTTTATCTTACAGGAGGATGATAACGCGAGAGCCACATAGAGCTTTACTGGTCGACGAATTTCTGAAGAGTGAGGATTTGAGTGAGTGGCTGTATTGGACAGCCAGGTCTCAACCCTATAGAGCATGTTTGGGACGCTCTGGGGAGAGAAATTGCAACTCTCAACCTCCCTTTCCTTCGAGAACCATACAGGAATTGAAAAAACCGTTGCTGAATTAGTGGAACCCATTGCCACAGGCACTGACAAGCTGCCTTAATGACATCACGCTGCGAGTCCTGTATGGCTGTAAGAATGAACCATACCCCCTATTAACCAATTTCTTTTGTGTCTTCTTCAACCGCTGTTTCAGACTCCCATGAGTGTTACACACGAACATGTGTGTCTATTATAACTATTGAATGTTTATTTTATTTGTATTATATCAACCTATGTTAACACCAAATTTTATTAAAATCTGTCCAGTAGTTCTGGATATAGTATATCAAATATGAAAATTCTCTTAATTTATTTCACCACTGTATATTACCTTAATTTCTTGGACATATTTCCCGTACAAATAAGGATGTCACAAAAATATTATAGGCCTTATATATACGAGCTTGCCTGTTAGAGATTTCTAACATCAGAAACATATTTGTTTTAAATATATATTGATATTGTTAGGTATGTAAAAATGAAAATATTTTGTTTGTGTACCACTCCTAAATATAATGACCAACTTTAAAATGAAATACTTTCGTCAAATCACATACGAATCATATATTTTGCATTTTACTTTATTATAAAGAATACAATATTTTTCTAAGTGTAAGAAACGGAGGAATACATAAATTAGAAATTAGATTTCGTAATTTTTAAATAATTCATTTTTTAAATTTAAAAATGTTAAAATACGAGTATTACTTTAAAACATTTTTGTAACTGGAAGTATATGTTTACGAACAACGGTTGTGGTAATAGAGCCCGGGTAAGGAATTTCGGGGACACGGGTATAGCAGTTTTTATGTATATTTTTGTATACTTTTATACATTCGGGGAAATTAAGACTACGAACGAATGAGATACGCGAAAAGTTGCAAGGATTAGGATAATCCGAACTTTAATCTGCAAGCCAAATAATTATTGCAATGCAGAACAGCGAATTTTATTATTACGTTAAACATATACTATTTCATTAAAGATTATATTTTTACCAGATTTCAATTTAACATTTCAAACATACCTTACAATTAAAAATTTTTAAAATGAATTTAAAATCTTTTAAAATTAAAAGAATTTAAAATAAAAAATAATCAAAATATCTATTTGGCCTCTGTCTTTAGCTTTCCGTTTAATTTCTGAAGCAATTTTAAGCTGAACATTTAAGTTATGTCAAACAGTTTCTCCTGAAATTAACAATAACTTAATGAAAAACCAAAAACCTCAAATAATAATTAACGAAACCATATATTTAAAAGAAATGTTCTTCAATAACTCTGCCAGAATAATACGAGAAAATCTAGCTCTGGCATTATTCCATCCTAAAATATCTGATGTGTAAACCACATGTCTTTCTTGTATAGAATATTAAATTATACGTAATTTTCCCACATTTCATTTAAACATATTGAATTAACAATTAACGAATTTTGAATTAAATGTACTTCGTCGATAGCGCTTAAACCACAGTAGAATAAATGCACTCTTTTAAAGTTCACTATATTTATTTACCATAGCGACACTTCGGCGCTATGTTCACTTAACAGCATTAACATCTATTTTAAAACTGAGTGCACAAAAATTATATCATATGAAGAATTACTATTATAAGTTCTATTCAAATACTATAATAAATCTAAAACGATATATAAAAGAAATTAAACAAATAATAATAAAAAAAAAAAAAACGTTTTTGCCGATGACCTAATGCGCATGCGCTACTAATTACTTCAGTTCTCACTTCGCGGTAAGGCAAAAATACATATTCAAAATATTTTCATTACAATTTTAAGGCTATAGAAGAACATAAAACATCAAATACAGTTAAAACAATTAAAAAACAATTTTTACAATTAAAGGTACAGTTTCTATATAAAAATAAGCTAATAACTTAAATGTTAATTCCATAACGAATTAAGCATAATTTAATTCGCAATAATAAAAGAAGACGTTACTTTGTCGTTGAGAAGGTTAGTCTCTCTAGATTGGCAACAAATCCACTATTCTAGTAAGTTTTAAATATAAACAAACATGGAGGGCATACTAATCAGAAATTAGGCTTAGCCGCACTTAAAAAACTTTTAAATTGTTGATAATTTCGCAGTTATTGCATGTAGGTTAACTAAAGATATAAAAACCTTAACCGGAAGATAAGAACAACATAATTCAATCATTTTAAAGCAAAAAAAAAAAAAAAAAAAAAAAAAAAAAAAAAAAAAATGCACAATTTACAAATATATAAGAATAAATAACTGAGGTCACTGAGCCGAGTAACAGAGTGGATATAAATATACATATATTCACATACTTTTGGTACGGCCGATTGCAACCAAAATACGAGGTGCACATCTACATGCTAAGCAGTCCTATATACAAAATTTCAACGTTCTGAGGTTACTCATTTTTGAGTTATGTGAGATACGTACATACGTACGTACGTACGAACAGACACCACGAAAAAGTCTCTTTAGAATTAATTTAAAATCATTTTTATAATTTTTTGGGAGAAACGAGTCCTTTATTTTGTCTTTACGTACAGATGTCACGCAAAAACATCGTTAAATTGCATTCGAAAGCGGTGAAAATGGATATTTTCGTTGAAATATGATGTCTGAACTTTTCGCGATTACAATACTTCCTTTTTACTTCGTACAAGGAAGTAAAAGTGATTTTACACGTCTAACTTTCGCACATATTTATTTAAGACGATGTTTACCTATTCAATATGTTATTGATAGCTTTTTCCACTGGATTAATATTAGCGCATCAGGTTTACAAACAATACACTGCTAGTCTTCCAAAATGCAGCACGAAGCAGGACAAGAAATATCCAAAATGTAGCACGAAGAAAGCCAAATTATTTCAGAGGTGTCAATGTTAGTTGGTTTAAAATACGGCCTTCTTCGAGGTCAGGCAGACGAGAAAATCAGTAATGATTGTTGCCTCCAC